CCCCTATTTTCAGGTTCGCCACTCTTAGGTTGTGCTGAGAACTCCCATTAACAGTTTCTTCCCAGTTAACCTCTTTATTTAGAAAGTTTTTCTTAAGTACTTTTAATGCTGGAGGAACATTCCGACAAGTTCTCTGCTGCTTCTAGCGTTCTTGATTTTTGTAATATGCAAAGCAAATAAAATCCAATAAGCCTGTTCTGTATCCATCTCGGTCTGTCACATGGGGGGAATCAATAGGGTGTTGATAACTCAGACCCGAGAGGTTTTCAGAGAAGCAAAGTGATCTTAGGAGGTTGTGGGAGGCAGAAAGGGCCTCCACACAGGGGTGTCTGACCAAGCCATAGCACCAGGTGGGTGTTTGTTTGGGGAAATGGTATCGGAGAGGTTTTCATGTGTGAAACACCTGGGGAGCAAAGAGACAGGTGGGAGAGGGGATGTAACTAGGGGTGAGGGGGCAAGATAATGGCGGTTATACTGCAGCCTGGTCCAGGGACTTGGTCTGAGTCCTATAGCAAGAAGAGCTATTGTAACAAGCCATTATCAAGCAGAAGGGACCCCACTGTACCCCAGTAACAAGCATTCACACAGCATGAGCAAGTGGAAGGAATGATATATCAGGTGTTAGAGAGGGCCAGGTTATAAATATTTGTAGTATTTGCAGGGTTCAGGTAAAGGTTCAGTTATGAATCCACACACCTTATATCTAAAAATATTTGAAAACATTTCTATCAACTAACATATATCAACTAGCCATTAAATAAAATTTATCTCCTTCCATGACAAATGTACCTTCACAACCACCTGAAAGGCCACGCTGGGACTTCGAATTCTCAGACTCCCCTAAGTTCTGCTCTAATGGTGTGGAAAGAGCTTCCCCACTCCCCACCGCAGCCCCTGCCTCCCTCACCCCTCAGGCCAGGCCCCATGCACTGTTCCTTAGGGCTGGGAGCACCTAACCAGCAGTGCAGCAGCCCTCCCAAGGACGCTTGCTCTAAGAGAATAACATAGGATCTGGGATGCCAGGTACCTGGAGCATGGGCTGGCAGCGGTATACCCCTTGTTCACACGGGCTGAGTTGTTGGCCTCACATGGAGGGGGGTGGTGGCGAGGGCCGATGTGGGTTTTCAAAGCACAAGCTCAGGATAGAGGTTCCTCTTCCCTGGGTCTAAAAGCAGTGCTATAGTAGAACCAATATGAAGCCCCTCAAACCACACTACATGGAAAAACTAGTGGCCTGCCTTTTCATTTTAGGTAATGATGACAAGGGGCCTGCCTGTGCCTCTGTCTCGCCATGTGGTACTAGCCATAAGGAATGCATGATAGTGTATTTTAAAATGTTGGCATTGGTTTCAAGAAAGGTTTGCAGATGTGCTTTCACATTAACAGGCATAGGCAGAGCATCCATGCACACCCACCACCAGGCTGAAGGAATATTGCATTATAGATAGAGCTGAACAGCGCCCCCTCCCGCCGTCAAGGCCTCCCTTTCTTTCTGGGAGAGGTAACCACTAACCTAAATGAGATGTTTATTCCTGCTCCCGCCTGTTCCACGTTGCTAAATTTGTATGCATCTCTCATGCACATGCTTTTTATTCCAGACTTTTGTATCCACAATCAATAATCAACATATGGTGGGGGATCATTCTGCATGTTCTTAAGACTTCCTATACATGGTATCATCTCTATCCTTCTGGAACCAGCTTTTACCCTAATGCATTTTTCTGCTGCGATCACCCAATTTTAGCACCTCTGTCACACACACACCCCACCCCCCGGTAAGTTCTAGTTTCTTTCTAAGCCCGGACCTTGCCATCTTGTTCAGTTTACCTGCAACAGTCCCAAAGGAGTGAAATTAAGGCTGGTCCTTCCTTGTAGGAGCTGAGGGGTGGGTGGAGGGTCTCAGCACCTTACCCTGTGGCTCTAAGTGCTTCTCAAACAGCTGCATCAGAACCCCCTGGAGGGCTTGTTAAAACACAGATTGCTGGGCCCCACTCCCAGAGTTTCTGATTCTCAGATCTTGGATGGGCCTGGGCATTTGCATTTCTAACAAGTTCTCAGGTGATGCTGACAACACTAGTCCAGAGTCTACATTTGGAGAACTACTGCTGTAAATCAAAGTCAAAGCCCAGGTTCAGAGCACTATCTGGCCTCCAGGCACACTGGCCATTCATGACATTTCCTTCAAAACTGCTCAGCAGTGCTGTCCAATACACACACAACGCGAGTCAAGTGTAATTTTAAGTATTTTAGTAGCCACGATAAAAATGTAAAGAGAGACTGGTCAAAGTAATTTTTAATGCTTTATTTCATTTATTCCAATACACTATCATTTCAATATGTAATAAGTTATTAATATCTTTTAAAGTATTTTTTACATTCACAGAACACCTCAAACCAGACTTAGCCACATTTCAAACGTGTAGCAGCAACACGTGGCTAGCGACTAACAAAACAGTGTAGCTCTAAAGGCTTGGCCTCCATTTCTCTCTTTACAAAAATTGTTTTACATTTGACACTGAACACTTGGGCTGTGATAAAGGAATGTAAGCTTCCCAAGTGGTGGAAAGTGATGCTTTAACAAATGGTAAAGTTGGCCAATACAAGAAGGTAAAACAGGTTTGAGTGTTATTTACCCTTTAAAATCTGCCTATGTTTCAACTTATCTAAAACAAACTTAAAACGTGAACACATGCTATTAAATACATCTGTAAAAGGTTAGAGAACTATCACGTCAGTGGATGTCACTTTTCAGGTGATGAAGTGAAGAACAGATTCTTTCTTCTTTCTCCATCCTTTTCTACTCCTTAATAGGAAAATGAGAGAAAATCAGTTATACAGTAACCAGCATCAACTACTTTCTAAATGTAAGGAAATCATCCTATATAGATATATGTATCTGCTGCATTTGTGTGCTATGTCTCAGTAACCAGAGAACAACCCATTTTCCTCTTTCAATCTCACACCCTTGGATACCGAGTGCTCGTGTAACCAATGGCTTCAACCATGCAGCCATATCAACCTTGTCTCCCTCTTGTCTAACACCATAAATGCATTTTGTTTCCTGGGGTTTAAATAAATCTCTCCACCCTAAAAGCCTTTGCTTATTCCACAAATGGTTGTTTCTTAACCCTCCCAGGCCCTCAGTTCCCAGATCTAGCACACGAGAAAGAGGCTGTTATTATGAAATACACAGCTGTGAAAATGCGAAGGAAAATGTTTATCATTTAAATATACTAAAAGAATTACCGATTCAGCGATAAACAATAATAACCAGAGTTTCCTCTGATTGTCACATAAAAGAGAAAAACCAACAGCTGAACAAATGTGTAGGTATTAACATTAAATGCGTTCCTACTTGAAATTCTTTTTTTTTTTTAATTTTTTTTTAATAGAGGCATGCTTTATTTATTTATTTGTTTGTTTGTTTATTTGTTTGTTTGTTTTGATTTATACATGCACTGGGTACAGTCAGAAGCACGGGAGGGTGAGAGAATTCACCAGAGCCAGAGCGGGGAGCAGAGCAGGCAGAAGGACCGAAGTACACTGCTGAGGGGAGCAGCGGGCGGCAGGAGAGGTCTGCGCGCCATGTGGGACCCTCCTCTGGTGGCCAGGGAGCAGCCAGGGGATCGAACCGGCGCCGCAGACGCTGCGGGCAGCTTCGCAACCCAGCGCTCAACCACTGTGCCACCGGGGAGGCCCCCCTACTTGAAATTCTTAACTTTGTGCTTTTGTAAGTAGTGAGGTTCCGAAGGGCACCGTCTCCCACTTAGCACAGGAACTGCTGTTCTGTGGCCAAGTAATGAAGGCCCAACTAGTGCACAGCAGCTGCTTCCAGTAACTGTTTTCTAAACAAATATTGGTCTTAAGTATTGACACCTTTTGTGCTTGTTTGTAGTCTTACAGAAGACAAAAATGAGTAGCCATCAAGTATACCGAGTTTTATTATACTGAGTATTCTATTAACATTCTAGGAAGCTAAAATGAATTTTAAGCTAATTTTAAACACACTTGTTCTTAATTTACTGGGAGAATTAAAAAAAAAAAGTTGTCGCTAACAGGTGAATGCCAGGAACGGTTGGGTAGTACTCTAAGCCATAAACACGTACCTGGAATCCGGGCTTGCTCTCTTCCTGGTCCGGATCCTTTTCTGGTCCGCCTTGTTTTCTGTTAACTTTCTCTCTTTCCTCCTCAATCCCAGCATCTTGGGCCTCTGCACCACAGTTTTCATACTGATATTTCATTGTTTCTTTAGTAAAGAATAATACAGACTTTGGGACATTTATAGGAAAAAATACCCAATTTATAACCAACAGTGGCATCCAGTCTTCTGCCCTCAGGAGAGCAGCGGGATAGAAACAGCTAAGAAAAGAGTAGCCGGGCCCTTCCCTACTGGCCGACACTCCACTGCCACGGACCTCACATTCCTGCGGCGGTCTCTTTCCACAGTGGCATCATTTCTCTCTCCAGTAAACCTGCCGCCCTGCGCAGCCCATTACTTCTGGCCCTTGGGACAAGGGGTGGGGATCATCGGGCCTAATGCAGCCTCTATGTGTGGTCAGAACATTTTGGAGAATTTATTTTTGCCTCAAGGACAACTTGTATGGTGTAGCTCCATGGTTCCCCAGCCCCCCGAAGACTTAATTTTTACCAAGGGTTCCTGTTTGGTATCAGCTTTCCAAGGATCTTGACTTTTTTTTAGTCACAAACCAAACACGAGGGATGGAGTTCTCTGGTTCTTCTCCTTCTGGCTTCCCTTGTGTTTCCTCCCCAGGCCCCTCCTGAGCACTCACCTCCCACCGACATTCCTCTGTGGCTCTCAAGCTGCCCCAAGGGTCTCAGATCTCTTATCTGAGGGCGAGGTTGGTAGAGGGCAGCCATTAAGTCTCAGGACCGCAGAGGTCATGATGGAATGGGCTCCCCGGGGCCCCACCCCCGCCCGCCTGGAGGCTCTAGGGGCTGCTGGTGCCCCGGAGGAGGTCCCCCACCCCCACCCGATCCTGTCCAGCCTTCCTCCCGCCCCCCAGCCCGGCCCCCCTGCCGTCCTCACCCTCAGGGGCTGGGCCCATCGCCCCCAGCTCCTCCGCGGGCTCCAGGGTGGCAGGGCCCACAGCGGCTGCCCCGGCCAGACCCTGGGCCTCCGAGGCCTTGGGCCCCTCGGCCTGCGGCTCGGGCGCCTGCAGCGCGGGCAGCGGCTGGGAGGCCTCGGGCGTGCGAGGCCGGGGCCGCACCATGAGGCGGCCGCCGCGGGTGCGGATGAGGACGTGGTCGTTGTAGTAGATGCGGTACAGCAGCGAGTGGACCATGTCGAGGAACATGAAGCGGAAGCCGGCCATCGGGAAGTGGTACGAATCCACCACGGCGTCCAGGCCCTGCGGCAGCTGCTCCTCCTCGGCCGGGCCGAAGTCGGAGTCCTCGCTGCTCCAGCTCCCCGGCGAGGGCACCAGGGCCATCGCCGGCCCCTCAGCGAGATCCCCGAGACCGCCCGCCGCGCCGGCGGCGTCGGACCCCGCGCTCCCGCCCGCCACCTCGGGGCCGCCGCGCGCGGGCCGCCACACAGACGCCCGGCTCCCCGGGGCCGCCCGCCACCCCACAGTCGGCGAATCTTCCCGGGGCCCCGGTCACCCCGAAGCTGCCCAGAGCCCCAGTGATCCTGGCACCCCACAGACTGCGAATGCCCCGGGGAACCCAAGCCCCCCGGAGACACCGAATGCCCCGGCCACGCCGCACACTGCGGCCACCCCACCGACCGCGGCCTCCCCACCGATCGCGGGCCCGCCCAACTGACCGCGGCCTCCCCACTGACCAGGGCCTCCTCACCGATTGTGCCGCCCCACCGACCGCGGCTCCTCACCGACCGCGCGGGCTCCCCACCGACAGCGGCCTCCTCAATGACCGCGGCCTCCTCACCGACCGCGGCGTCCTCACCAACCGCGGCCTCCCCACCGACCGCGGCCTCCCAACCGACCGCGGCCTCCTCACCGATGACCGCGGCCTCCTCACGGATCACGGCCGTCCCACCGACCGCGGCCTCCTCACTGACCGTGGGCCTCCTCACTGACCGCGGGCCTCCTCACCGACCGCGGCCTCCCTACTGACCGCGGCCTCCCCACTGACTCCGGCCTCCCGGGCTGCTGACACCAAGTCGCTCTCGTGGGCCCGGAGTCTCTGACCACCCAGTCACCAGCGCCCACCAATATGGCCCATGTTCCCTCTGGTCCCACAGGGTGGTCCCGTCCACCTGAGTGCAGTTCTCTGTCCCCTGCGGCGGACATGGCACCAGGCACGACCTCAACCGGACCGGTTTCTCGGGCTGTGGCGACGACAGCAAAGATGGCGGCCACCGAGGGAGCCTGAGGGGAGTCCTGAGGTGGGGAAGGGAAGCCTGAAGAGAGGTGAAATGG